GCCGCCGCCGCCGCCCCCGCCTGCTGCTGCTGCTGCTGCGGCTGCCGCCACACGTGAACTGCTTTCCAGGCATCTCATCTTAAATTCTTCACCTTCCAGGATTGACAGTAAATATGAATTAATGAACGTCCCACTGAAAAGTCATGTTGTTGTGACGTAGAACAACGGCACGGAGGTTGTTAATTTCCACCTTTTTGCATTTTTTAATGAGATTTGTATCTTTATTGCTGTAAATTTTGACTTGAAATTGAAGTGAGAATTAGCTCTGGCCAATTCCAGCTGTTATCAGAGGAAGTCGGTGTACACACCTGGATGGTCTGCCAGTCCAGCATTCCCCTCTACATTGACACACATCAAAGAGTTAATAAAAATAAATAAACCCAAGCCCGAACAGGGGAAACATGCAAACTCCATCCAAAAATGGAACCAGTGACCTGTTCAGCTCCTTACTCTAAGGCAGAATAAAAACCTCTTCTTCCGTGTTTTTTTTTTTTTTCTTGTTCTTTTCGTGTTTGTGTACGTATCTGTGCAGCTCTGGTCACTTCAGATGTGGTGCGGACCCTTTGTTGCACCTTCGTGTTGGGAATCGACACAAGACTGGTCTCTGTCCTTCTTTGTGCCTCTCTGTATCCGTGGAACAGATCATTCTCTCCAACCGTCGGCGGAGCCACAAAGAGCCGTGGCTGCAGATACTTAAGTCTTTTCATGCTAACTCGCAGGTTTGGTCACCCAAGACTTGTCAAATACGATCAGCGCGGTGTGTCTCAGTCAGTGTGGGACTGTGAAATCAGGATCTGAGCTGAGCTGTGAGCAGTCGATGTGGGGGGAAAATGTGCAGTGTCTAAAAGTCGAGTGTGTAGAAAGAAGGAAAAAGGGTTTAGGACCATGGCCTTCAGCAGGGATTCTTTTCACTTCTTTTGATTTTATTGAAATTAATTTTATATATTTTGTATATTTAATCTTTATCTCTTTCTGCTCTGTCTTTAAGCGAAATGTTTATTTGACTAACTTGGAGTTTAATCCTGTAATCAGTCTAACTTAACTAGTAACTAGTAGCTAGTTGTGCTACTGTACCTCATAGGCCGTGTGTCGTTTCAACTTCAACTCTGATTGGAGCGTTGTTTTAAAAATATTTTTGGCTAGCTTTTAGCCACAAAGCTAACTTGTGGCTAATCATGAATTTAGAAGTTCCTAAATCTGGTGTGGTGATGCTAGTTGTGCTACTGTACCTCATAGGCTCTCTTTTAGCATGTTCATAGTTAGCTGAGTGTTGTTTTGTGGATAGCTTTTAGCCACAAGGCTAACTCGTGGCTAATGATGAATTTAGAAGTTCCTAAATCTGGTGTGGTTTGCACATCCCTACACTTTGACTGTGTGTGTGTGTGTGTTTAGTGTGTGTGTGTTTAGTGTGAGCATTTGCATCGGAGACTGTTTTGCATCCTTTCTCTTGGGGGAAACAGACACCACCCATCAGGAACCATTAGTCTTCACACAGACAACCCAGCCTTCCTCTGAGACACCCTGCTTATAGGTCAGCTTTTTCAGTGTTTTCACTGAAAAACTTCTGCCACTACTGCAGGGTATTTACAGCTGGCGTTACTCCTGGTTTACGTTCTCTGTCCTAACTAAGGAGTAAAGCCCGTCTCCAGAGACTCCCCTCAGTTTCTCATGCTCCTCGGCTGGTGGACTAAATGAACGATGTGAGGTCGCGTGGGCAAATGTGCGGACAGGTGTTGTAAAGTGTCTAATGATATCACCCTCCTATTTCCAGACGGATGCAGCACTGATGTACGACGCTGTGCATGTGGTGGCGGTGGCCGTGCAGCAGTCGCAGCAGATCACTGTCAGCTCTCTGCAGTGCAACCGACACAAACCCTGGCGCTTCGGAGGGCGCTTCATCAGCCTTATTAAAGAGGTACGAGTCCCGGACCGCCATCAATATACACCGGTCTTGACCTCTGACCTTTGGAATCAATTCAACACTGCTGCCTGTGGGTCAGTTAGACGACTTATGACTGCACTTAGACTTCGGTGCTGACTACAGGAAGTCAAACTCACAACCCTGGAGACTCAAATAAACGCCCCTAGCCGTTCAGGTTCAGTGTGGTTGAAGTCAGGCTCATATGTAAACATCTTTCAAAATGGATGATTTTAAATTAAACCTGT